CCTCTCTCTCTATACTCTCTCTCTAGACTCGTTTTCGCCCCGAATCCGCAACCAAACGCTTCCAAATTGTAAGTCCGCTTACCCCTAACCTATTCTAAACATATTGATTCATTTTTATAGCTTAGAAATCAAACCTAGAAGCTGTTGAAAAGGAGTTCACGGCCTAAGCTCCTTCTTAGGCCGTAAACACCTTAAAAGAGGCCAAAATGACCCCCAAAAGTCCCTTTAGGCTTGGAAATAAATTAAGGAAATTGTCTAGGAGTGTTTAAGCATTAAAACACAATGATTTGAGGCATAAAAGAGAGTTTATGGCCCAAGCACATGCTTAGGCCGTAAACACCTCTAAACTATGTCAAAATGCCTCCAAAACACTCCCAAACCACCCTTAGGCTTCATACATAATTTAGGGACTTAGAATTTGGGGTTTTGATCACTTAAACACATCAAAATGAAGGGGAAAAAGGAGTTTACAGGGCAAGTATGTACCAAGGCCTTAAACTCCCCAAAACATGCCCAAATGTTGGTTTCCCCCCCCCCCAAATGGCCTTAGACTATTTCTATAAAATGCTAGGAAGGTATTAAGGGCTTAAAATCAAAGAATGATGGGTGTATGAGAGTTCACGGGCAAGCCATAGAGCTTACGGCCGTAAACTCTCAAGGATTGGTCTTTTGGACCATAAACTCTAAAGGAGTGCCCTTTTGGAACCCCAAACACCCCCTATAGCCTTGAATAATTACTAGAAGCCTTAAACCCACTCATGCCTTTTTGGAAAAGTACTTAGAAAAATCCCATGAACAAGCTAGAAGCCTTAAACACCCTAGAACCCATCACCATGAGTTTACGGTCGTAAACTCATTGTGAGAAGTCCCTGGGCCGTAAACACAACTTTAGGAGTTGCACTCGGATAGTAAGCTCCATTCCAAAGTCATACACACCCTTAGACGCTACCCGGGACACCCAAACACTTATCCAAAGTGTTTTCCGCTCCTTTGAGCATGTATATTTGTTTAATTAGTATTAAATATACTAATTGTATGTGAACATATGTTATCATATGTTAAATAAGTCATTGTGTGTGTTCGAGTCCTTGCGTGACACCGAACGCCCAAACGGCACCTTCGTCGGACCTACTTACACCAGGTGAGTTCATACCCCTGAATGAACCTTTTAAATGTTTTAACATGTTTTATAGGGGGAATACAAGTTAAATATGTCATTTATCATATCAATCACATGTGATTGATAACCCGCATGCACAAGATTTTACCACTGTACACTGTTTTACCGAGTAGGACACTATAATGGTTTTCAATTGTTTCAAAACTCTTACTTATACTGTTTTAACTAGATTCATTCTAAACTGGTTTGTGAAAGATTTTCTAAGATTTTCAAACATATTTTACAAAAGAATACAATTTTTGATTTTCTATGGACATAAAGGTTTTTCATCAATGATTCCCTTTCTCGACGTATACTTTACTTGTTAAATACGGCTGCTTCGCTTATACTTATTTTATACTCCTACTCTGTAATGCTTTCACTTATACTTGAAGTCACTTGTACCTGATGGATGTTTATACTTATTCACACTCTTACTTAGTGATAGGATTCTACTTCGCTTATGCTTGATATCGACTCTACTTCACTTATACTCGATACGCTCTTGCATCACTTATTGGCGTCTCTACTTCGTGATACGCTTATACTTGTTCGACTCTCCTACTTCACTTGAGACCACTCCTACTTCACTTGTTAGACACTCCTACTTCACAAGAATCACTTCTACTTGATACACACTCAGTCATAGTTAGATGTATGTTTGTGCTTATATAGGTACATATAAGTAATGATTGAAAGACTTAGGAAGGCTCATTCGCCCTATTTCCTTTTCTTCGTTGAGATGTGGTCTGGTGGGATCGGATGGCCGTCCGAAGGTCGTTTGATTCATTAGTTATATATTATGTATATGGGTATGGACATATAGGAATTCTCTAGTCAGTTCAGTTAAGAGTCTCTACCTCTAGTCTACACTTACATTAGAAACCCATTATTGGGAAGTCTCCACCTCTAGTTCAGGACTTACACACTACCCACTATTTGGAAGTCTCTACCCACTATTTGGGATGCATCTTTAGGACACGGCCTTCTCCGTCGTCTAGTTGGTAACCAGAGTCGCATGTAGGGAGAGTGGACATTGTGTGTATAGATCTATACGGGATTGACAACCCCGCACCCCGACTGCTAGCTACAGTCCCGGCCTACCACGCCAACGGGTGACAAATGTCACATCTTATAGATGCTTGTAGGGCGTCTGGAACTCTATTCAATATAGTTACGAGTATCCTGGGTTACCTTATAATTCAGGGCTTTAAGGTAATGGTATTTCACCGGCAATTTACACTGTATGCTGGTAACTCATTTTCAGAGTCACACTGTTTTGACCTTACAAGACGTATCTTTCATTTGATACTGTCTGGGGTCTGTCTTTCACTGTTTTGACCTTACAAGACGTATCTTTCATTTGATACTGTCTGGGGTCTGTTATCTCTGTTTTGACCTTACAAGACGTATCTTTCATTTGATACTGTCTGGGGTCTGTCTTTCACTATTTTTGACCTTAAAAGACGTATCTTTCATTTGATATTGTCTGGGGTCTGTCTTTCATTGTTTTAGACCTTACCAGCTGTACCTTTCATTTGGTACTTTCTGGGGTCTGAGTCGCTACTTGTTAGACTGAACCAGGCGTGTCGTTAGTTCGATATTCTCCTGTAGTCTATGATTCCTTGCCTTAGTCAGCAGTCCTCACTGTTGAGGCATATGTTATACCCTGATGTCGTTTGCTTTCCTCAATAATCAAATTCAGTATTTTGATAATGATAGCAATTTAGGGAAAACTACTTTTTACCACATAACACTGACCAGTCTTTGGTAAAAGGCTGCTTTTATTAAAGAAAATATAGGATTTTCTGGAAAGAACTCTAATACACAGAAAACACTTAAACTACTACTTATTAATGTTATTTGATTGAAACGTCACTAAATACTTATGAACTCACCAGCATTTGTAAAAATGTTGATACTCGCTTTTCAAATAACTTGTATTCTCAGGGCAAAGATTAGAAAGGTACATCCCTGGAGCTGTTGATGAAGATAGCTTAGTACCACGCTGTATTTATTCTATTACTTGTATTACTTTGATGTATTAATGTAACCATGTAAAACTATTTCTATTAATGCAATGTTTTGTTGTACTTTGATTACTATAATGCATGTGTTGTGATACTTGACATGACGTCATCCACCCCAGAACGTTTCCGCCGTTCCGGTTTTGGGGTGTGACAAAACAACTATTCAACCCTTACGCCTTTGCAAAGTATAACTCTTGTTTTCTATAATTAATATTGATAACTTGCAGTACTTTCCTTAATAATCACACAAGCATAACTTTTACGCTCCCACCATCATGATGATTATTATCAAATAAGCATAACACTTATACTCCCACTAGCTTTGACATGTATTCAGAAAACAGCTAAACTTCCAGAAAACAATACCTATTGAATTTCTTAAGTTCATATTTCTAATACCTAATGCTTTGATAATCCTTTATCTAAGCTTCTTAATCTTATACACCTTTTCCTTAGATAGCTCATATGTGTGTCTAAACAATTCAGACTAATTGCCAATCTCACAATTCGAATCATGGAAAGGGATACTGTAACCATAATCAAATTCGAGAATACAATTTCACAATCACTATCTTCTTAAAATCTCTCTTAGTGAAAGCATTTCCTCAAAGTCATTTTCATGAAGGATGGAATCTTATGACACTTAGATTTGATGGTATATGTGTTCCTATCCATGTGAATTTGTCAAAACCAAAGTTTGCGACAAATCCAAATTCATATGGACCGAACTTTCTCAATCTTGATCTCTTGCCTTATGGTAACACGGTTGCCCACCATAACTTCCAAGTAGTTAAGCAGCTTACCCTTTCCTATCAATGTACCTTTCATTGATCAAAGTGCTTACCTTTTATGAGAACTCATTGAACTCACATGCATAATTAACTCAATTGGAACGACATAGAAACAAGATAGTGTCAACACGATAGGTTGTAAACCTCAAGTCGTGTGCTAGTGATGATCGATAAGTTTTATCCTTGATCAGTTCTTGAACTTTCAAGACCATTAAGAATCCCATTGAATCCTTGACATATAAGATTCTTTTGTCAATATATATTTCTCGACAAACAAATATTCAAGAGTTAGTGCAGCTTTTATCAAGACAAAACACTTCACAAAATTGGTCCTAGTTGGTCTTTGTCTTATCCAAGACATCACAACTTTCCAATTTCAAATGCGCAAGAATAAGAAAACCTTTTTCCAAATTCTACATTTGATGAATGTTATAAACCTTCTTAAGACTTGCCACTCAATGTCAAAATATTAACTCTAAGACTTGTTTTTGGAACGAAGTATGATTGTCTTCTTGATTTAACCATTTCTTCAATTCTTGATTCCTCTTCTCAAACATACAATCACTACTAGAAAAACAGCCTTTTACGACGCTCATTGCGTGTCGTAAAAGGCTCAGACGACGCGCAAATGCGCGTCAAGGAAGGCCCTATCATAAAGAGAGACGACATGCTTTTGCGCATCGTCTAAAGACGACGCGCATTTACGATGCGTAGTTATGACGCGCGCTTACGACACGCAATGCGTATCAAGGAAGGCCCTGTCATAAAGGAAGACGACACGCATTCGCGTGTCGTTACCTTACGACGCGCGTGTTAATGACACGCAATGCGTATCAAGAAAGCCCCTGTCAAGAAAGGTCATGTCATAAATGAAGATGACACACATTTTTGCGTATCATAATTTTTAATGTTTAAAAAAAATATTATTTATAGATTTACTTATTTTCAAATTAAATTTGTATTTAATGTTTCATAGTAGAAAATAAAATATCATATACAAAAAATAGAATCCATTGCATAAATTTAATGTCATACAATTCTATTTCTTACAATGTATAAATTTGCATCTAATCTACTATGTACATCGAATTCCAACTAACTAAAGTTGCATCTTGCCTTTTATAATTCTTTAAGACTAATGCTCCAAGCAGCTGATTATATGACTTAGCAAAATTCAACTCCAAGTCTTTACTGCATCTTGCTGATAATGCTGCAAGATTTAAATAAAATTCAACTCCAAGTCTTTACTCAATAATCAAAATCCCAAGAGCAACATCCATTGTAGAGGCAAGTTCATTTTCAAAACAAAACATAGTATTTATAATGATAAGGATGTGGAGGGTACACTGTAAAAACTCAGACATGGCTATAATGGAGATAACAGGGATAGATATATATACCTTAAACAAATTAGCTTCCAGATCAGATTGAGAGCTGCAAAAAAACTAATATATGTTAAGGTAGTATTTGGAGGATGTAATATGATGACATACATGTCCAGAAGGCTATTATCTATGAGCTTGACCAACACCAAGGGCATTATTGGTAGAAATAATGTTACTATTTGTAGGGTTGATAGGGATAATGTCTCCTCACTTTGTTCATGTACTGAAGCTCCCTATTGAATATATTATGTTTTTCTATGCATATGGGAACATGGGGAGGCGTCCTATGGGGGTAGATTTGTCATTTAACATACCGGTGACTGAACTGAAGGTGAAGAAAAAAGCATTTTCATGAAATTTTTTGTTCATATGAATTCCTTCTACATAGGGCAATTAACCCAACTAACTTGACTAAGTTGACATGGTTTCTAATTGAAACTAGTTTCTAGATGATGAATGGAATATAAATTCAAGTAGGGTTTTGAAGTTTGAACAACAGATATGTTGTTACCTTAACGAGGCCAGGTGGAATTACTAACCATCAACACCAATAGGCCAATGTGGAGCGTTAGCTGCAACATTGAGGCATTGCAGAATTGCTTGCTCTGCCTTAATTATAGATATTGAAAACGCTACACCACAGCACAACACAAAGATATTAGCCACTTTTTTTGCATCAGAAAACAAAATGAACTTAACAAACCTCCCATATCGGTTATGGTTCATATGAGGTGAGATATCGCTTAATCGCTTAACCCGTAAAAAATCCATGTCACAAAATATAAAAAAAATAATAATAAAGAAAAAAAATAGCAGGATATCTTCCCTAAAACAACCAATTCTGCAAATATCCAATAACAATGGTAGAACCAATGGTGATCATCTTGCATAATGAAGTGGAGTCGAGGAATTGACATGCCATAAATCATTTATTTCTGTCTGTTAAAATACAACTAAGCAGTTGATGTGTCAAAAAATTTAAAAACTTATGCCACATCATACACATAAGTCATAGCAGGTTGCATGAACCATTGTCCTATTTTGAAACACCATTGCAAATTATGTATAACAACAAACATTATTAATCAGAAAAAATGTGAAACATTGTTGTATAAATAAGTAACTAACCCTAAACAAGAATTAGGAGTCCCTTATAAGTCTTTAGTAGCATACTAATAACTTCCATTCCACCAAGGTTTTAATAACAATTTAGAGGTCACTAGAAATGCATGGAAAATGATAATCAATTAACTCCTTGGTCAAAGGTTTGACATTCGTCTCATTGGATCTGATTTTCATCTTGAGATTGAAACATTTAACAAATCATGAAATTTGATTTAATTAAAAATAAAACATTAAACAAAAATGCATACCTTGTTTAATGGGTGAGAAATCAATTGTTGTTCATGTTTCTCAATCTGATTTACCAGGTCCACAAACTGAGGTTCTTATATGCCCATATCCTGTCAACAGAAGTCATGTATTTTTGAATTAGTTATGAAAAATAAAAGGTCAGTAAAACACAAATAAAGTTACCTTGATAGGATTAAGTTTTGGAAGACCTTGAGGAAAATGTTTTTGAAGCTCAGGATTCAAAATTTGAAAAACCTTACTAGTCTTGATATTGCAAATAATGGTATTTCAGATACTATTCCTCTCGAGTTTTGGGGCTCGTGGCCTTCCCAGTTAACATTCCTGAATCTTTCTTCCAACAACATAAAGTGGGAAAGTACTAGATCTGTCATCAATATTTCACAACAATTCAGTGATAGATTTAAGCTCCAATAGCTTTGATGGTCTAATAACTAATGTCTCTTCCACTGTGGCATTACTAAATCTTTCCAGAAACAAATTTTCTGGAGGAATCTCCTTTTTATGTGAGGTTATCCATGGATTTTTAGTTATACTTGACCTCTCTCATAACTTTCTAAGCGGACAAATTCCAGACTGTTTGTGGCATTTCAAAGAACTAAAAGTTCTTAATTTTGAACACAATAATCTGTCTGGAAGGCTTCCTGCTTCTGTTGGATCTATGATTAAACTCGAGGCATTGGATTTATACAAGAATGATTTCTCCGAATCTGTCCCAGCTTCTGGAAGGCCCGGCTTTTTCACCACATTTACAACCACCCCCACCCCCAATCTGTCCCAGCTTCTCGAACCTTAACCTAAAACAAAAAAAAAATAGAAGAATATAACCTTATCATTTTCTCAAGTATTTGACACTGCCCCAAGTACAATCTCAATTTTATGAATAAGTTGATGAACAAACACTTCACTGAGCTCAAACAGTTCTTCATGATCATGGGAGCCATGATGCCCTCCCTCCACTAATGACTCATCTGTCCCTTCAAGTGCCACATAGGAATCACCTTTATGTGCTTGAAACATTAAATAAAATATATAATATGGTCTTTAAATATTAATCAAAAAATATAAACATGATTAAAACAATAAAAAGAACATGACATACTCTGTTAGGATGTGCCTTTAAACTGAAAGAAGTAGTAGCAGCATCCATGGGACACCAATTAAGGATAGAAGCAGTAGCATAAGCTGTCATTGCCATTGCCAATCAGATCATTTCTATTAGTTGTCACCTTCAATAAAATTTAGATGAATACAGTTTATTTTTTAAAAAAAATAACATTTTTTGCTTTATTCATTAACTTAATTTACTTAGTTTTCTAGTTATACCTGACTGGCTTTCAGCGGAGATGAGTGATGACCTAAACTCTTTGCTATTCAGTGTTTTCATTTTTTATATTACTTTCAAGTTATGATATGTAATTACTTTTGCACCAGACTTAGTATATACTCATATGCACTCGTCATTAGCCCAACATTGCAACATGCATCTCATGATTTCTTTTATGTTGGATCACATTGAAAAGAACATAAATAAATATTCTTAGCTAAAGATTACTTTATAATAAAATCCAATAACACAAGTGAAGGAATGTAGTGGTAAACAAAGAAGTATGAGTTGAAAGTTTGGAAATGGAAGTTAACCTCTACTGTTCTTTTAGCTAAATCAAATTCATTTTTCAAATTCTCAACATTTGTACGCTTGACAGCTATCATCTTAATCACACATCTAGTATTATAAATAGAAAATCGTTATTAAAAGATGGATATGATAAATAAAATATTAGAAAGAGGTTAAAAGCTATCTCCATATTATATGAACATGAAAGGTATGTTCAAGCACATTTGGCAGCCATCTACCAAATGAGTAAGCATCAACATTAAAAAAGAAGAAAAACCTCAACTGTGAAAAGGAGACAGACCCATGACAACCCTAAGATTCTTTTGAGCATTTATACAAACACATTGTGTGCATATCCATGTTCCACATAATCATATAAAAAGTTTACACTAACATCGGTCCATGTAGTTAGAAATTAATGAATTACAATCCACATACAAAAAATTAATTTTGCCATTTCATTTGATGGATGAATCTCACTGACACTCAAAAATTGCTTTGATAACAAAATTTATGAAAACATGAACCTGTAAAAAGATGTATCGATGAAAGAGATGAGAATAACACCTCAAAATTTGGTACAGTTCACACAAGTCAGCCAGCAAGTGATTATAAAAATTGATTTTAGGGATGCCATTCATCAAAATACTTGCTCTATAAATGAAAAAACCCTAATATCAGAGAGAGAGAGAGAGAGATCACGAAGAATCAAAACAGGACCTGAATGTTCAAGTTGTTAGCTCAACTTGTCTTTTTCCATCCTCGTCCCAGTTTAGAGAGATGTGCTTGAAATTTCACAAGAATATAGGGTTAGAAAACCTTGGTCGGCCTAATTCGATTGTGGACATGATTTTTTTATCTAATAGAATCGCACAATAGGGATGTGAATGAGTATCTGGTGGAATCTCTCCAATCTTCGTTCCCTTAATTTTATCGTCATCTTTGTGTGCGTGAAGAGCCGAAAAGAAAAAAGTAGAAAGAAGGAGAACAATGCGGGGTTTTCGAATTTTCGTGGATTTCGTTTCCATCTTAGCTATTAAAGGTCGGAAAACGCATGTTTCATCGATTTTTGCATCTAGGTTAGAACGAAGAAGGAAGTGTGGGGAGCAAAAAACCCTAAAAAAGGGAGTGAACGAATTAACTGGAGATCGATTAACATCTAGAAAGAGATCATTAGCTAATAAAACCAACGAAGCCTTGTTATACGATGAACTTGGAATGATTGAAATAGAAGAGGGTAGTGATGCATAAAAGAAAATCCCCAAATTTAATAGTAAATATGCATCCAATCGGACGAACTGATACATTATCAGAATCATCTCTATCTTTCTCTCTCTCTCTCCCATTTGTTGTGGTTAATGGGAGAGAGAGAGAGAGAGAGAGAGATAGAGAGAGAGAGATTTTTATAGATAGGGCGGAGGTGGTGAATGAGATGTTTGGTGATACTGATAAGAAGGAGATTGAGTAGAGATCCGATAAACGAGATGTTTGATGATACTGAAGATGAAGATGAAGGACCTAGGGCTTTTTCTTGCTAAGTAGAAGAGGATGGGGGATTAATTTTGGGATTCAATAGGTGGGGGTAATTTTCGTCGATTTCATTTCCCGCCTAAAACGCGTGTTTCACTTAAAATTATAAAGCGACACATTCACATGACGCACATTTTATGAAAGGTGCCCTCCGCATTTCTTTTTTTTTTCTTTTCTGACACTAATTTTAGGGTGCGCAAACATGCGTGCCCTCTATCCTTCAAATTTTGAAAAACTGACATTATCTTTTAGGGCACTTACAAATGCGCGTCGTCTATCAGCGAGTGTCATTTTTTGCGCGTCATTAAAGGGCTATTTTCTTGTAGTGAATTGTACTAAGACTCACTTAGAGGATCAATTGATATATTGTTCTTAATCATTAATACCTATCATAAAACATAATAAAAGGTACTCTCCCTTCTTCTTAGAATAGAGAAACTTTTATCTTTCTGTCTACTTGATTCTTCTTATCCGTTCTGCTATTGATTTAAACTCTTTCAATCAATTCAGAGTTACACTTAATCTTATAAGTATAATCATATTTACTAAACCTTTAGTAAATTATGACGAATATCTTTGTCACTCTTGTAGTGGACTTGATCAACACACAACTTTATGTGCTCGATCTCCTAGTCCTTCACATAACACTTTGTCAACGAATTAGTCTAATTTCCAAAATTGAAATTTCTCATTAATCATGCAACCAGTTGTATGATTCCAAGTTTCTATCCAATTGAAACTTGGGCGATGAGAAACTTTCCCTATTTGGTAAATTCTTGACCTTTCCACAAATAACATAGTTAAGAATCAAATCCATTATTGCTAATAATAGAAACTTACAAACATCAATTTTTCATACACGCCATTGCAAGGATAAATAAATAATATAAATCAAAATTTATTTTACTGCGGAAAAATTTGTTCTTACAATGCAATTCAGTTGAAAACTATGTTAATACATATTTCTTAGCAATCTTATTCTCACTCCAAGTAGTAGCTCAAGATTCTAATCCATTTCTTCACGATTAGATTCCGCTCACTTCTTCCCTTAAGCTTCCTCTCTTTTCCTCGATCCTACAAAACATCGAAATGTAATCTTATCACATCATGTATCAAGAATCTAGAATAGGAACTTAAGAGAGTTAGTTAATGGATTTTACCTAAAGTGGAGCCATACTTTTTGACTCTCCCATCTCTTAGATCTCTTAGGTAAATAGGGCAGCTTCGTCTCCAATGCCCCTTCTCTTGCCAA